TGGGAATGATTGAAAAAATTAAGCACCTTAAAGTTTTGTGTTTAATTTATGTATTATGGTGAGGAATTATATTTTTTTCATGAGTAACGACTGAAATTCCTTCATTAAAAAAACCTTCTAGTCTATAATCATTATCTGAGTAATTTGGAATTCTAACATTCCACAGCTTGGAGGCTCACAAAAAGTTTTTCAACATCCTATTTACTCCATCTTACTACTATGTTTTCATTTGAGCCTTAATTGTTTGAATTTCATTAATCAAACACTTTATCAGTGGACAGTTAGGAATCGGTCATCTGTCATCGTGGGAGGTCTGAACAACTAAAATTACAAAATAGAGCATGTTCTCTCCTGTAAATCTAGTATTAAGGTTTAGGAATTCAGGAAATGGTAGCCTTTACACAATAATATTTGCCTGTAAAATCTAAGTTTTAATTGGTGTTGTTCTTCTAATCTTACGGTATGTTGATGCTTAATTAATATTGAAAATTTCTCCGACGAATGCGGGACAACCATGTTTCTATGCGCAAAGTTGATGATAAAAATATTAACACTGGCATTAAAAAAATAGTTAACCTTTCTGCTTATAAACAAATATTGTTGATTTTCATTAAAATACCAAAATGATTAAAATGTCAGATGAAAGAATAGGGCTAGGACGGAAACACATTTTTGCATGATTTAATTTTTGTTCAGAGGAGACAGTTTAACATCATTTAAGCGTTCTTGTACTGATTAAAGTTGTATTCAATCTGTACAAAAGTGAAAATGAAAAAAGACTTTGAAATGACATACGAGGCAACGTTAAACACATCTTTGAAAATAAACGTGCAATAATTGCAACAAACCTTTAATGAAAGGTAAGGTACAAGAAATCACACTTCCGTTTATTTCTGCTTGTATTTCCGAGGCAATGATGTCGTTTTTATTATCTACAAGGCTGCATTTTAAAAACACATCCTCAGTTCGCGGCTTTGGAAGATGTTCAAAAGATATCGTCACCTGAAGTGCAGTATTCAAAAGATAATATACAAACTTACATAAAAATATTTGAACATCAACATGTTAAATGTGTTGTGTCATATACATGTTTATTGTTTCTACTTTTTGTTCGCAAGTCATCTTTCTATTTTGTCTTCAAAGAAGTTGCTTTTTGACACGTGAGAGCAAATAACTTGTTGTTGTTTATAAAAACAACACGCACGCACACACAAATACCAGAATATGTTTAATTTTTAATAGTTATTATCATTATATATTTTTAACATACCAGTCCAATTTGAATTATTTATTTCGATGTTTAGCACCCGAGACTAAAGATAAGATTAAAACATGTAACTCAAGAAACAACAATGTGTACCTACGCGTCATTATACGAAAAAAAACAACATATTAATACACAAAATTAATCGAATAAACAAGTAGATAAAAATAATCGAATAAATAAATAAATAAATAAAGTTTACCTTCACGTTTGAAATCTTTGAAACCATGACAGGTATTTTGGATGGTGTTATATGAATTTTGTATAACGACGATATCCAATGGAAGGGCGCATCTGAGCATTTAGATTTCCATGTTGCTCTTTAAAATAAGATGATTGTCATGTTTTATGATATTGTAAATTAATGTTTTTACAATTAAACCAGCATGTCAAGACAACTAAAACTAAACTGTTTATTCGCTTACTTTTTCCTTTTACCAGATCAAGTGCCTTACGTTCCTTGATCATGATAACTTCCTTTACCATCATGTGGTACTAGATAGATATATAGATAGATTTATTTCAGTAATCAGTAATAACATGGTAAAAACATATCCAATACATGATAAAACAATAAAAACAAACATCAATGTACAAGAAGTGTACCATATCAAAAACATCATACCAAGGATAACAAAAGGAAGCGAACTTAATCTCTTATTTCCATTGTGGTCCTTAGATACTGATGGTTTTGACAAAGAGAGGCATGAAAATGACTTATCACAGTTTTAATTGAAGAAAGACGAATAGTATACATTAAAATGTTCAAGATTAAAAATAAACAAATAAAAATAATAAATATTAAGGACTAGAGGATAGACACCCTTAAAAGACAAATTAATAATTACCCATTAAAGTAAAATGTTTTTAACAGATAATTTAAAATTGTACAATTTGATTCCATCCTTATAGAAGAGGGTAGTTTATTACACAATACACATCCATTGTAAGCAAAAGACTTTGATCCGAAACCTTTGACCTTAGGTAGCATATAACAACCACTTTCACTTGACCTGGTACTGTAAGTATGAACAGAATCTAATGGTAAAAGTTTTCTCCCATATATTCAGGAACAAGTCCATGTTTTATTTTAAAAAGATTACAGAGGACAATTTGATCAACTCTTTTCTGTACAGGTAGCCAATTTAAAATTTTAAAGTGTTCATTATCAATATGTGACCTATAACCAAGATTTAGAACAAATCTTATTAATTTATTTTGTGTGACATGGAGTTTATCCTGCTAGTATTTAGTAACCCCGGAAAACCAGAAACAACATGCATAATCAAAATGACATTGGATGAGGGCCATAACCAGAAGTTTTTTAGTGTGAAATGTGAGATAATCACGTTTTCTATACAGAAACTTTAACCTTGCATTGGCCTTTTTAATAATAGAACTTGCCACCGGAGAGAGATTGATCAAGTGTTGCACCTAGATATTTGACATTAGAAGTTGACTGCATATCAGTTCCTTTACAACTGACATGAAGAGATGAATCTGATTTTAACCTATGTTTAGAACCAAATAATACTGTCTCTGTTTAGCCTAAGTGAAGGGAAAGTTTATTGTCAATTAACCATTGACTGACAGAATGTAGTTCATCTGTCACTTCTTTTTCAATAGATGACATATTTTTACCTGCAACAAGAATAGCAGAATCATCTGCATAAAGAAGAAGTTTATTTTTAACAACAGCCTGCATATCATTTACATAAATTAAAAATAATAATGGTCCCAAGATAGACCCTTGCGGAACACCACAAGTAACCCTTTCATGTGAGGAAAAAGTACCAGATACATCAACAAGTTGTTGCTTATCAGACAGATATGAGCTAAACCATTGCAAAACATCAGTACTAAGACCAGTGGCTTCTAATTTCAATAAAAGGATTGAGTGGTCCGCTGTATCAAATGCTTTTTAAAGATCCATTAAAAGCATGCCTACAACATTACATTCATTCATATGTAGCCTAATGAAATCAGATGTGTAAGACAAGTGTCCATGGAAAAACCACCTCTAAATCCTGATTAAAATTTATATAAAATGTCCATTTCTTTAAGATAGGAAGAAATCTGATCATAAACAACCCTTTCAAAATTTTTTAGAAACATTGCTTAATATATTGCCAACTTCAGTTTTATCATTAATTTTTAAAAGAGGAACAACTCTCGCTGCCTTCAAATCATCTGGTACTGTGCCTTGTATCAATCACAAATTTATAATGTGTGTTAACGGAAAGGCAATAATAGATGCGCTATCTCTTACAAAACGTGAAGGAATACCATCCAGACCAGTGGATTTGTTTGAACCTAGTTTATTCAAATACTTTATTACACTCTTTTCAGACATCAATGAAAAAGAAAAAAATATTATATATAATTCTTTTTGAAAAATAAAAAGAAGATACAAACTGTTTACCAAAAATGTTTAATGCTGGATGTAGTTTTGCAGTAAGATTTGAGGCAACATTACAGTAAAAAAAATTAAATACTAGAAACAACCGGAAGAAAGAATTCCGTAGTAAAATAAAAGAAAGAGGACTGTCAGTTTTCAAAAAAAAAAAAAAAAAGATGTCAAAATTAACGTTTAAACGATATTTCGATTTCTTTCATTTATTTATGTATTAGAAGAAAACTTTTAAAATATTCGTACTACACAAGGTTTTCTGATATCTTATAGGGGCATGCTGCTTTAATTGTTATAGCATGGAATTTCGTTTTTAAATGTTTTAAATTATAAACGATCCATTTATTTATTATAACAACAGTTTGATTTGAAAATTAATTTGATCATACACTTTATTAGAAACATTTTAATTTTAAGGTATATTATGCATAAGAAACGATTTTTTTGTCTTGTTTTGAAAAGGAAGCCGTGACCTATATTGTTTTAAGGTAGACCACTGCTAATGCATAACCTCAACTTTGAAGAGCATTCAAATAGGCTAGAATCACTTGTCAAGTGCATTGAAACTGAGGGGAGTTGGTTCAAACCCCAGTAGGGGCATTTTTTTCTTTCTTTTTAACATTATTTATGTATCTTTCAGATCCCTTATGGAAGAAAAAAGTGTTTGATTTTAGTTATGTAATTACTGTAGGTATTCATTTGCTAAATAATCCCAAATTTAATAACAAAAATGATCCCAGATATTTTCAAAGTTTAATAAAATATAAACTACACGGTAAAAGTATTTTATATTTTATAAGATCAACCAATATACTTTTAAGAAAATTTAGGCAAACTTTGAAAATAGCTCCTTATTGTTGTAAATTTGCTAAAAGCAAAGTTTTAGTTCGGAAAAATGTCCATAACTCCATAAACAAGACGGTAAATTTTATTTACATTTTGCATACAGGTGACCTTTAAGGCAAATAACTGTCCTATGTTGTTAATTTTACAGTTCATTTTAGTGCCTATTAGGTGTGGTCTACCTAAATGATGGTTTTACAGCATGAATATGAGCATCATTTGAAGAATATAGCGTAAATGTAAAATAATAAAAAAGAAAATATTAACAAATAATATTTTGACTTCAAAATAGTTAATCCTTATAATAATATCAATTGGTAAATGACGATAGAAGCAAACTATGACTACTAACATGGTTCGGGTTATTGGCCATTTTCCAACGGGGCTCTATAAAATGTATATTAACTTTTAAGAATTTCCTACATCGTCGGTTCTATAACATATTCCCCAATAGTTACGCTATTTTGGGCACGTGTCTTCGCAATTGGACATTATTTTTCTATGTAGTACCTTTGTTTGAAGACACACCAGCCACAAAAAGGGTTCCGACCTGCCATTGTTTCAGCAAGAGACTTGAACTCCGAGCAATTGGACTGTGAATACAAATACACCTGTTGGATAGAAAATATTCATTATTCATAAGAACAACACTGAAAATATCAGTTGAAATAAATCGAAATGAAAGTTGCTTTTAAGAAATGAAATTTTATGTTCTTCTCGCATAAATAAATTCTATACTCATTGTTGAATTCGATAGCGAAACCGATGTTAGTTCTATTAGGTTAATTTGTCGTGAAGACCAAAATAATCCTTAAAGTACTAGTGTCTTGAAAACACATGTGTTGCTAAAAAAAACATCTGGTGTAAGGCATAGTTTGTATAAGTTAAGTTATAAGCTTATCTATCATAAACTATACGCCAATTTCTATCACATGTCTCAAAATTTATCATTTACAAACAAAAAACCCTTTCAAATTGAAGTATATAAAAATCAGTTGCTAGAGTGCAAACTATTTTATGATTTCTCGATATTTTATTTGTTTTAGATATTGTTAATGAATTTAAGATCTGTACACCAAAATTGTACAGCTAATTGATATAATGATTTGCATTAAAGAACCTTACACATAGTCCTGTAGTTAAGGTCAGAACTGACGATAAATATTTGTTTTGAATGATAATCTCTGTATTCTGTTTTCTTTTTATATGTAACATTATTATATAATCGTCACTGAAAGCTTTTTTAAAACGTAGGTAAATTCAACTGACATTTATCAAATAAATATAAGTGTCTATTTGACTCCTAAAATTAAATGCTTTCACAATATATATACATATAGAATGAAATAATGCACTTCTAATCCAAATTATATAAAATACATTATTTATCTACATATGTGCACACATCAAAATATGAAGTACTTTCTTCGACATTGAAATTCAATATTACGATAGTAGGCCCAAATAAATGAAAATAACGAGTTATCAAATAATAATCTTTATATATAGCAAAACTGAATAAACGTCTATTGATCTAAGCATTTTAGGTAAACATAGTAAGAAAATATGAATATCAAAATAATACTTATTCATAAAAAACAATTGTTAACAAGTCGTCTTTCAATCAAGTCGTCTAGTGATCATAAATACAAACGCTATTTCAAGCAACCGTACAATGACCTCACAAAGCAACTGCATGACTTGTTTTTTTTTTAATTATACAAGCAATCGTACAGTCAGTAAGCCTCAACATTGGCAATTTCAGTAACAATATTTTTTTAAAAATGTGATATCTGCAAGTATTCCTTCATTTTCTTTTACCTTGATAGTTATTCTTTACGAGGGGTGTTCAGATATGAATGCAACTGGGTCGGTTTTCACAAATTAACAAACAGTGCCAAAATAATTATCTCCATTCTTCAAAATACTCTCCACCATGTGATATACCACGTTTTTTTTTATCTAATTTTTAAATGCGTTTACATAATCTTTTCGAGGTATATTGTTCAGACACTGGAAAATAGCCGAACCAAGATTTTTTCGCGTTCGATATTTTCTTCCAGCATTATGTTTTTTGAGCCTCGGAAATAGGGAAAAGTCACTAGGGGCAATATATGGCGAATAAGGAGGGTGAGGAAGTTCGACAAATTTTCCCGTTTCAGATATTCTCGCACAATGGCCGTTTTGCGTGACAAAGCATTGTCATGCAACAACCTGGCGCCACGGAAAACAGTTGCTGAAATATTTCTTTAATTCATGAAGGACCTTGCCTTTGTAAAATTGGCATTTACAGATTTGCCCTTTAGGTAAGCCGTCCGGCCGGTTAGCTCAATAGGTACAGTGTTGGACTGTTAATCGGGCTACCGGAGTTTGATTTCGGGAAGGTGCAGTTCACTAACGTTGTGATTGAACATCGAATCTTTTCTACTGTCATTAGCAGTTTACATCTGCTAAGGCATGTTCAAAAGTTTCAATTCCTAACGAAAGTGAAGGCAATTAATATTAGTAAAGTGCTTAACAGCTTACCCAGGAACGATGCGGTTGCTGAACTGTGTTCTGGTAAATTAAATGTGGCGCATTGCCGTGATTCGGAGAGAAAACTACCAACACCACCCACTCAGTTTCTGAGGTGAGGAGTTCCAGTTGAGACATCGACTCGGAAGGTCAGGCCAATAAATTAAGTAACTTGTGTAATACTTTGAACTTTGTGCCAAAAAATACCACATAAAACAATGGCTCAGATATTTAGAGCATTGCGTTCTGATATCTTAACATTAAAGCATTGTTTTAGTTGTACGGGTCGCGAGATTAGTGAAGAGCTTACGATATATGTCTAACCATATAGAATATATAGGTTGATGTATACATTTACAAAAAACATTGAATATTACCAATCCATATGACTTACATAGTACTTCCCTATTGGTTGAGGTTTTAAAATAAGACGTTGACGAGTTCAAGTAAACTTATGGAAGATATATTGGAAGCACCATACTTCTTTTAAGTCCCCATAAGTGGAATTGCCACTTAAATCATTTGAGAATCATTTATTACCAATCATAAGGGAAGTAGCCTGAGAAAAAATACATGAGTTATAGTAGCAAGAGCTATTACTTTATATAGTTTAAACGCTACCTGAATTAAAAGACAGAAGCTCGGAAAAGTTACAATATTAACATGAAATTGGCGTTCAGGAAAAATGCCGTATTAAATATCAATAAATTTTTCTTCTCTAGGAGAAAACAGTACGTAAGTTATTGTTTGATATAAAAACACCACAAGACATATCTAAACTGAATATAGAACAAATAGAATATTACGTAAACATGTTGAGAGCCCAAAACATAGAGGGTATCTTCGTCTTGTATATGAACATTAACTATTGGTGTGTTTATTCCTGTCGTCGTGCCTAACACCTCCATTGTAGATTTTAGACTTTTCATGGTTATCTGCAAAAGATAATACATAACACTTTGGTTAGTAGGCATCAACCAAATAGCCAAGCCATCTGTGGCGGTTCTCGTCGCCTAGATATGTAATATTATCTTATATGTACATACATAAACGTGTTAAATCTTTATGGAAAAAAGAAAAACATATCCTCTTTCACAACTTGTTTATTGTCACAATACATAGTACACATGAACGAGGTTTCGATGTAAACACAAATGAGACAATATATATATAAAGTTTTGTTTAATTTGCAAACCTATTGCCACAAGAAGTTTATTAACTTCCTCCAATACTGTTACTAGTTACTGTACATTTATGTGCCCATTGCGGCTGTACTTCGGCTAAAAATTCATTTCCAAGGCATGTTTGGGGTTTCGTACTTTTTGTGCCATAACGGGCGGATAGACCCCTCACAAACATATATGCATCTTGTGATTACAAACACTTGTTGCATACATATTTCAACTAGTATCTTTCTTGTGATAACAGGAAGTTGACTTTTTCCCACACCGACACTGTTAAATGAAATATCTAAAACATTGTAAGTACTTAATGAGTCATTCCTGGTTCTGAGTATTCTCTTAATCGACCGACTGTCTACCTGCTTCTAAAGCTCATTAGGAAACCTTTTGATTAGTAAACCAGGGGTCAATTGTTATCTGACGATCAGACATTGTGTCTAATAATCATTTGTCCCTCACCGCTGATTTAGAAATCATGTGGTATTGATAGTTGATTACTAACTGAGAAATTATTGTTTCAATTTAACTGGTGAGTTATTCGTCAAGATATGAGCAAAATATTTGGAAACGTCGTTAATAACCAAAATTAAACAATAAAACTATTATTTGACTATAAAAAGAAAATTTAAAGTCTTCAGACACATTCCTTGCAAATTTTTGAACTAAAATGTCATGTTGTTTATTATTCATGTTAGTTAAAGTGTTAATGTAGTGAGAAAAACTTATCTTTGCATCAAGCTATCTATCTTACGAAACATTGGCAGTTCAACTAAGGTGCCTGTTTGTGCCTGAAATAATGTATGGAGGTACATTTGAGGTCTCCTACCACCAGTAAAGCTATAACATAAAAGGGCTGTTTGTGCGAGCAAATGACGCCCCCGCTCGAGCCGTCATTTCGAACTAGGAGCTTATGCATTCCAGTATATTATAACTCCTTGACTCTCCCAAATTTTAGGGTCACTCCCCACGTAATGAGTCAGGACATCGGCAGCTCATACATAGGTCTGGCCGTCTTATTTAACGTTATATCGAAATATAAAATTTTTGTTAACTAGCAGTCTTACACGTTGCAGTGGGCCTTCACTCATATGCCGAAGCCATGTGCTTCTGCACTTCGTGTACATACCGAAGGGAAGAGAGAAGTAATCATAAGACATGTCACACATTGAATTCTATAGGCTCGCAAGACAAGGTGCTGAGGATGAATTAGTGATCTTTCCTTTTTCAAAGAAATACTTATTCTGAATGCTTATTTATCTTTTACAAAGCCTTTAAAAAATAAAGGAATTACCTGTATTAAAGATCCAGTCGATAGCCCTGCAATGAGGACGATAGTATCTCCAATAGAGGTACCATCAAGCGCAGTCACGTGACCAGTCTTCGTTTGGTGTAGATATGTTGCTGTCATTTCATGCGAATAATTACCACTCCCACATAGCAAGAAGAAATAGGTCAGTAAATAGTCACTTAACTGAAAAAATGCAACAAAAAATAGTTTACTACATCATCATCATCAGCATTATACAGTCAACACCAACACAATCATCTTCATCACCATGTATGTATGGAACACCCTGAAGGTGGAGCTCCACTTTATGTTTATTGATAATATTATTTACTACTTCTGCGTAGCATAGTTGATGCAAGGTAAATGCATTTCTTTCTCCAACATATAATTTGTTATCAGCCTAAATATACACAGGACATTGATAAGAAAATTCATGGCAGACACGAAAGTCTTAAAGTATTGTTGCCGTCATCCTTATAAACATGCAAGCTGCAAAAGACACCCTAAAATTATACTACCAACACCAAACAAGTACTTAACCGTTGTATTTGTTATTCACAGGGCGATCTGAATATTTTTCAAGAAAGTAATATAATGGCATCCGTTTCACTATGTTTTTTTAATAAAAAAGAAAATATTTTGTAAAAATACATGTAAGCTTTTATTATTTTTTATTCAAGAGTGGGTTTATTAGAATTTTGTTTTTGTCATCAGATTAGAAAATTTAGAGTTTATTGTAATAAGTAAAGCTTTACATAAATAACAATTTAATTTAATTTTACCACAAACATTATCATCATTTGTATTATCAAATGTCTATTTCTTCCTACACATATACATCATTATCATAAACATCGTCATTTTTATCCATACATATCATTATCACTCTTACTACCTCCTTATCAATCAAATATCATTATGGACATGGTCAATAATATCATGAATTAGTCCACTTTTTAAATTTTAGCTTTAATGATTATTGATTTATATTATTGACTACTTGTATTATATTTTATAATAATAAAGTTTGTTCATCATTAAAAACTACCATTACCCAAGCACAGAAACTTGGATGTTTTCCTTTGGCCAAACTCTTAAAGTTTTCTTTAGCATTTAATATGTCCTGAAATATGTCACTTATTTTGGATACACAAATGGCTGTGTTACCAGTTGCATTTGTAGGGTCATTTCCTCTAGTGAACGCGCCCACAAAAATTCTATCGTTTCTTAACATTCCGAAGGAACTTGGGGCATCTATAAGTACTGCCTTTTGAATAAGATTATACTCAATGCCACCATATATACAACTAAGAATTATGTCCGTATATGAATCAAAATCAGTATCATTTTGGTAAAGACTCATCAATTTAGAAACATAGTTTGTACTGTTAACATTCTTCTTTTGATTTGTTACAAAATAAGTGTACCAGTTAAATTGAAACACGTCTTTGAAATAGCAGATGAATTCTCGAAAAAGGAATTTAATACGACCAGATAATAAACATTTTCTGTAATTGAAGTTTACAACGTCCACTGTACTGATATAACAAGTTAAATAGTTGTCAGGTTGTGTTGCATCTTGAGAAACGGCTATCGTAACATGACCATCCATTGTAACAATACTTTGCATCACGTCATTTTCGTTCGTGACAAGAGTAGTATATATCCTTTTTGTTCGCAAAACAGTTTCAATTTTATCAATCATTCGTATTTCGCATATGACCATGTAGTCAGTTCCGCATACGAAAATTTCGTTCCGTTCTTCCAGCACAAGTAAAATTTTATTAATATTTCCGCACACAATCGAAGAATTGGAGCATGTTGTTGCTGATTGACTTACACTTAAGTCATTATTAAGTATGTACAGCATATTGGTGCCTCCAATGTAGATTTTGTCATTAAAGACACGAAGATTCTGCAACGGTCCACTAAGTGCCACAGACCTAAATCGTTGAATCAAAGCATTGGCGGTCTGGAGAAATAAAATCAAAATTAGAAAACATGATATCCTTTTGTAACTCGGCATTTTAGAAAATCTCCGACTTCCACCAAAATAAACACACACACAAAACAATAACAACAACAACAACAACAGCAGCAGCAAAAAACCCAAACCAATTGTTATATAAAGCACTTTTTCATACAAAAAAATTGAACATATAGACATTAAGTATTTTTGCATTACTCAAACCGGAAGATTATCTATAAGTTATGCACGTTCAGTCGCACTTCTTCGAGAAATTAAATTCAAAAACAACTAATGCACAGATCACGCGCTTATTGTTAAGAGTTTATTTCTGATTATTTATCATTTTAGAAGACAATGTCCGGAGGTGAATTTAAAAGGAAAATTAATGTTAATGATATGCTTCGATTGAATGTTTGTATACATTTGTTATCATCTACCATTGTATACTAGTACTCTGTTTTCTTGCACAATAATATATTACGATATCACACATATAAAACAGGTAGTGAAAAAGGATTTAAAAGAATGATTGTCAAACTTTGTTCTCTTACAAAGTGTCTTCGTTGTTCACTCTCAAGTAATAATAAATAGACTTAATGACATAAAATAATCTTCATCGGGTTTTATTTCAATTGCCTTCAACTTTATTTGTAAAATTTAGTTATTTCAATATCTGTCTTTTAATGTTCAACAAGTTAACTTCGCGTTCGATCTATTTTTTTAATGACTATAATATAAATAAAAGGACACTGGTACGAGCCGTTATTAACATGGAAGGTTTTATTTATCTTCACTTAACATCCACTTCAGGTTGCTGTTTACTAAGTATCTGTTTCAACAAAAAATATTTGTAAAAAACTGTAATTCTTTCATTTAACCTTTGGACTAATGTTCGGTAGACAATGCTACATAGAAAATATATTTTCCCTTGTGCGGTATTTCTTTATATGACTCATATCCGGGGATATTTATTTTTATCACAGTTTACGTACACTTAATGATCTCAATTTTGATGAGAATGACATAATACAACTTTGTATAGAATCATGTAGAAGCTACAAATCAACTAATTATGCTGGGTAATACAGTTTCTTACAACATTCAAATAGTTTCTTTTTTTTCAATTCTGCTTTCACAATAAACCAACACTAGTTGGCCATGACCTCATTTGGTTCGGGAGATATTTCCTAAGGGTAGTGGAATTTGATTATGTTTATCCGGCCACTATACCTTTTTAGATAGGGTTTGATGACTTCAGGAGCTCAGTCATAAAAAACACGAAATAAAGAAGCTGTATAACAATTTTCTAGCGTTTTCAAATGGAGAAATCCCTTTGTGTATTATTTGTGATACTTTGTTAATTATTTTTACTTCTTCCAATTGTAATTTTTTCCTCTTTTTTTACATAGATTTTAAAAAAATCTCGACCGTCAACTGACCATCCTGGATAATCATTAATTACCAATTACTCCACAAATAACCGTCTACTAAAATTTTAAAGGATTACTTAATCAGCTGTGAGAGACAAATGAGAATTCGACTCAATGTTCAAGATCAGTTGTCATGGAGAAATATAGCCTTGATAGAGGGTCGAAGCAGTGACCCCTGGATTACAAATCCGATGCTATTCCTATTGAGATAAGCAGGTGGGTGCTTTTTCCACAAGAACATCTCTGGTATTCAATGTAGACTAGTCTTTAAAATCACGTTTTATATTCTTTGTATCATAGTTTGGGGACCTGTCTGTTGAAAATGTGACATTGTAAAATCGTATACATATACATGCACTGTGCGTTAACTGGAGTGCAGGTATTAGTTACCCGCACTCCAGAGCATGCTTATTGATTTGTTCATTTTGTCCTGGGTTTACATATTGTGACGACAGAGAAAGGGATAGTGATGGAAATATCATATTTAGATGCTCGTTCATTGGTTACTTTTTGTGGGGTTTCATATTGTGGTATCAGGGAACGTGTTTTTATGTTTGACCATGATACAAAAGAGAAAGAACATCAAAACACTCGGCAATCTGATTTATACTCGGGGGCTTCCCCTCGTACAAATCAGAGTCTCGTGTTTCGATGCTCTTTCTATTACTTATCCTCATCCAAAGACATACACATACTTATCACACGAACAGTCCATTATTTATCTAAGAATCTTTAATATATCAAAACAATACCTAACACAGAGCAGCTAGTAACTAGGTTGTAAGCGAGACTATACTGATGTGTAGGATGACCTACATCTTACAATACTGGTGACAGAGACAAACTAGAGCTTTCACTAAAGTTGATTAATACAAGCAACTTTGACTTTTTGTGAAATAAGTGATCACTAGAAAAATTTGATATAGTAAATGAAGTATCAACTGTGTACAAATAATTATTTCAGTTAATTGCAATCCCAACCGGGGTCTTCATATAAGCTTGCTTTACACCAAGTTTGATTACAATATCTCATTCCTAACTCTACTTATTGTCCGGAAACCGTTTTTCTATTTTTAGTAACGGTGACCTTGACCATAGCCCCGGGAGTTGGGGGTCCAAATGCAATACCAACTAGGGTCTTCATATATGCTAGGTATACACACAATTTGATTATAACACCTCATTCCAAATTCTAGCTTTTGTCCGGAAACCATTTTTATATTTTGAGTAATGGTGATCTTGACCCCAGGGGGTCCAAATGCAATACCAACCAGAGTCTTTATATAAACTTGCTATACACCAACTTTGATAACATTATCTCATTCCTAACTCTAGTATTGTTTGGAAACCATTTTTCTATTTTAAGTAACGGTGACCTTGCCCCAGGGATTCCAAATGCAAAACCAACCAGAGCTTCCACATAAGGTTGCTTTATACCTAGTTTTGATTACATTATCTCATTCCAAAATCTAATTTTTGTCCAAAAAACATGATAAGGACTGACCGACCGACAAGCTGACTCCTTTAAATAGCCCCCTAAACTTCGTTTGTGGGGGGTATAATTATCATCTCCACAAACACTCTTTTACATTTTAAATTAAATTACTTCATCAAATGAAAGCAAAAAGCATTCAAACAAATACATTCTGTTATATCTTTAATCACTTATATAATGTTCATTTTTCTTTTCTTTCACAGTTTAATTACAATGTGTAGTTTTATCCAAAAAAAAGATAAACATCCATAATTGTAATATTATTGTCAGGATAATCA